AATTCCTTTGTTCTTGCTTTATTTCAGAGGGGAAATTGCTCTCCGCTCTCCCAGAAGCCACAATGCTGGGGTGGGACCAGGCATCCGTAGCCAAGCCGTTAATGACCACCTGGGAGTCCGCATTTACCAGAGCGGGGTCATTCAGACTGGGCGTAGGTGCGGCCTTGTGGGCCAGGCCACTGGGGGGCGGGGAGAGCGGCCGTCTGGGATCTCAGTGCGTGGGTCCGTCTCGAGGGAGCCCTGCATCTCCCAGGGAGCGAGGGGCTGATTGATTTGCAAGCGGTGCTGCTGACGGGGCCAGAGCGTGGCGTAAGCGAGCGCCGCCTTGGCTTATGGGGCCTCTGAAACGCAAAACCCAGCTCCATTCCAATGTCCTCAAGAAAGGGACCGCGGGGAAAACAGAAGATTCTCTCCAAATAGTCGCCCGGGTGGAGGTCTGACCGATCTATGCCCCTCTGGCTCCGCAGACGCACTTCCCTGGCTCTGATTGGCTCGTTATTGACGAGCGGCCAGGGCTGAGATAAAACCCAATAATTGCACTTGAGCATTTCGATGAGGACGTCTGTTCTCAGGTCCCAAGGCAGCGCTTGGTTGACCGGCTGCGCCTGGGAAAATTCGGCTGCTGCTTTGAGAGCTTATTCAAGGAACGAAATCGTCTCTCTGCCGATAACATCAGGAAACAATGAGGCCATGGCTGGCAATGCCGTCAAGCCACCCTGCCCAGCTTATAAGGGACTCGCCCTAGGGTGGCCTGGCGCGCGTCCAGCATTGGCTGGGAGTAGCGACGATCTGTGCTCTACAGTCCGGCACGCTCGGCCTTTGCTCCCGATTTCATTTGTCTTGCTGGCCAGTTTTCATTCTTCTTTTGAGCTGTGCACGCTAGACAATGGTGTGTGTTCATGCACGTACTAGTTTGTGCTTTGTGCACGCCGCGTGCGTCATGTGATTCGACTTTACCGGTGATCTTGGGTCAAGTGTGTTTTGAGAAGGATACATTTGTTTTAGCTTCCCTCCATCAGTTTCAGGAACCTGCTTGTAGTTTTATAGACCGGCAATACTATACAGGAACTCATTGCTTCCGAGCAAAACTGAAAATGGAATAAACACTTGTAAATAGATGTTATTTATTGGCTGGATAAACATTGTATTCCCTAACAACAGTAAACAAATGTTTTTCATTCCTCCATGTGCAAAGAAGGATAATTTCCCTTGTTTATGGTGTAAAATCATGTCATAGTCTCCCTTGTGAGAACGTAGAACAGTACTTTCACAGAGATATCCTGGTAAAATAACACAGGTTTTCAGCATGGTGAAATAACACTGGTATTTTTATTTCAATCTCTAAAATTACTAGCAGAGGTACCCTGCATTGTTCGGGTCTTTAACTCAAATTATATTTTAAATCAAAGGGAAGTGTACACGCTTTATAGAAATTACTGTATTTCCCCAAAACACAGTGTCATTTTTATGATCATTTTTATTTCAGATTTAAAAAAAAGGATTGTTAAGCTTTCTCCATTTAGTTGTTAGTGATTTTTTTTAAAAAAATGGGAATTCTGTTGTATTTTTTTCTTCATCCCTATAAACTCTTTATCTTTCGTTGTGTTTTAATAGAATCAATTTAGTTTCCAGTGACATTGTCTTCTCCTTTTCAAACCTTAAGCGCTGATGACGCTAGGCCGAAACAGAGCGCCGCTCCAAACATGTCTGTTTTATCTATTTTCTTTGTGGTTTATTGAACAGCAATTCTTTTCCAGATTCAGCCTGTTTTTCTGGTGTCAGAGGGGTAGCGTTGTTAGTCTGTAACTTTAAAAACAACCAGGTCCTCTGAGGAAGTGGGGTTTGCCCACAAAAGCTCATGACACTGTGCATTTTTGTTGGTCTCTAAAACAGCACAGAATTGTTGTCACTTATTTTTCTGGTTCATCTGGGTCCACGCTCTTTGAACCAGTGCTCAGTTCCGTGTCACTTGTGATGACTGTACTTGCTCTGGGGATGCGATCTCTTTTCCGTTCGGTTTGACGAGAAGCTATCCCGTTGCAGGCACATCCCTCTTTCCTTGGCACAGCCAAACTCGTACGTTGCTGTAAATTGTGCTAACAGGAAGCTGCCTACCGAGTTGGGTGTTCCTAGCTCGCACTGCTTAGCAGGAGTCCTTGAACACACCGACAAACTCTGTAAAATATTCGAGCAGATACAATGCAATGTATTTATTATATAGTTTATTCAGCATAATCGCTCATAAAAACAAAGCAAAGCAATTCCTTGAACAAGTGCAACCCACATACAATTGCGCGGCTAACGGAGTTTTAAACCCCCAGGGCCTTTCTCAGGCTACATCCCGGATGAGAGTCCTGGTGGTAGAAATAATTTTGTGGGGAGTTTTTTTAGTCCCACGGGGTCCTGGCTGGCGGATTTTTCTGCTTTGGCCACGTTGCCTTTGTACAGCTGCCAATACAAAACCGCTGTGGCGGCAGGTCCCGTGTCCTCGCTGTGAAAGTAACGAAGCACAATCCGGCCCGGCGTGCTGTCCCCACCCTGCGAGCTCCACCCCCCGCCTGACCCTGCTCTGTCTCCCTTCTCCCACAGGACCCCATGGAGCTGGGCCAGGCCCGGCAGGTCTATCTGGTGACGGGCGGCTGCGGGTTCCTGGGTTCCCACCTGGTGCGGATGCTGGTGGAACGGTCGCCCAACGTGGCCCAAGTGCGCGTCTTCGATCTGCAGCTGGATCCAGCCTTGGGACAGCTGGGGACAGGTGAGGTGCAGGGGCCCCTCCCGCAGGGCTGCAGGCCCCCACGGACACGAGGGAAACTGAGGCAGGCATGGGCTTCCGGAAGATACTGCAGCAGCTCCCTGCTCCGTCCTTTCTCTGCCCCTCTAGACTGGAGGGGGAGGGCGCGACTCTTGAGTATTGGGGCGGGGGAGAGGTTGCAAAGTTGGCCTTAACTCAGCCCTATCCCTGGCTAGCAGGTGCCCTGCAGGGCTGTGTAGTCCACCCTCTGTGCAGGACACTCTGGGGCCTGCTGTGACCTTTCTGCCGCTCTCCCCTCCCCTGGGGCTTCCCCCTCAGCTGCGGCAAACCTGCCTTCCCCACGCCCAGATCCAGCCAGGCCAGGCCGGAGTGAGTCACGTCTCCCGTGCGAAGCTGGCTGGACAGTGCCCTGGCTGACGTGTCTGCGTTCCGGGAGGCCCTGTGGCCTCTGTTCCCTATAGCCCAGCTGTTCGTGCTACCCCTCTGAGCCGTGGCTCCAGCTCCCGGCCGGCTCAGCGGGACGCTGTCCTCGCCAAGGAGGGCATCCAAGTTGGGAACGCTGCTCCCTCCCAAGCCGTCCTAAGGATCTGAGCCGCCGGTGTGGCAAATAGCTCCACACCTGGGCCTTTGTCCCAGCTCCTTGCCGCTGCCTCCATCCCGGAACCACTCTCTCCCCTTTGCTCTCTGACCCCACTGGGGCACAGGGGAGCCTGCGCCCAGGAGGAGCTGAGCGGTGGTGTCAGCGGTGGGATCCGCAGTGTCAGCAGTGGGATCCGTCCCTAGGCACTGGCCGGGCGACGGCTTTCCTCCCAACGTTCTACCGCAGAGTTTGCTCCTTGTGCCCTCCCCCTTTGGGCAGCCGATGAGCGATCCCCTCTGTTCCGGGCGAGCCATTTCATCCAGCATTTTGCCCACCTGTGTCCTGTTTTCCTACAACGGCTGCACCAGGGATGGTGGCTGACGCAGGCAGCCCCCGTCCAAGGGATCTTGGACCATACCCAGTTTGGAATGACTCAAATCCTGTTTTTGGGTGCCTGACCCGGCCTGCTACCCCATCATCTCCCACGGCTTCCTGCCCAGCTGCGGTTTACGCCCGTGGGATGGGGCTGGGAGAGTCGCTCCCACCCGGCCGGGCTACACGAATCCTCTCGCCAACTCCTGCGCCTGGAGATATTCTGCTGCCGGGGGAGCCCCATGTACCACGCCAATCCAGACGGACGCAGCCAGGCCATGTGGAACGTCGCCTGTATCAACAGCGGCCATCCGGTCGTCTGTCGTTATCACGCGGGGACCAAGGAGGGTGTGAGAGCGCAGAGCCGGGCTGAGCAGAGTCCCAGCACAGGGCTTCTCTCTGGCATCTGTGCCCTCTTCACCCTCCCCTTAAACTGGAACAATCAGCTGGGACCTCTCCCACCTCCCTCCTTGCTTTTCCAGCTCCCTGCGCCCCCAGCCCGCCCCCCGTTCTGCAGGGGGAGAGCAGGACTTAGACACCTTTCTCCTGCTGCTGTTTTTACTGCTGCACGTCACTTCTTGCCAATGCTCCGGAGGCATTGAGGATCCCACTGCTGCCACCATCTGTCCCAGAGCTATACCCCAGTTTTTAAATAGCCGCTTGGCGGGACCTTGTAAGTGGGCCAGACCCCAAAGGGGAACCAGTCTTCCTTCGGGGGGTCCCTGCAGCCTCCCTGCCTCTGAGACAAAGTGTCTGGGCTCCAGCCCCCCTGCTTTGCCCCATAAGCTCTACCCAGCGAATCCAACTCAGACTTGTCTGAGACTTGTCCATGCTGCAGTCCCAGTGCACCCGGGCAGCGCCGGCAGGGACCCTGGCCTGCCTTTCCCCCACAATGCTGGGTTTATTGCACCCCTGGCCCCGACTTTGCCCAGAGCCACCAGCTTTAAGGCATCATGTGGGTCTTGCTCCCGCGCCCTGGTGAGTCCCCCGACTTCAACCTCTGCTGCTCCTCGCTCAGGCCTTCGTTCTCCAGGCAGGGCCAGGCTCAGCCTCCCCTTCCCCACACTCGTGGACCCACACACGTGGATGCACTCACCCACGCAGACCCCACACACATGTGGACACACACACACACACTTGGACGCACACACACACGCAGACCCCCACACACATGGACACACACATGCACGTACGCAGACACCCCCCCCCACACATGGACACACGCGGATGCACGCATGCACGCATGCAGACACACACCCACGCACACATGTGGACATACACACGCACGCGCATACGTGGATGCACGCACACAGGCACCCCCCGCGCACACATGGACACACACACGTACGCACACACGCGGATGCACGCACGCATGCAGACACACACCCACACACACACGTGGACATACGCACGCACGCACATACGTGGATGCACGCACACAGGCACCCCCCGCACACACGTGGACACACACGTACGCACACACGTGGATGCACACACGCACACATGCAGACACAGCCACGCACACACATGGACATACGCACGCACATACGTGGACGCATGCACACAGGCACCCCCTGCACACACGCGGATGCACACACGCATGCATGCAGACACACACCCACACACACACGTGGACATACACACGCATGCACATACGTGGATGCACGCACACAGGCACCCCCCGCGCACACATGGACACACACACGTACGCACACACGCGGATGCACACACGCACGCACGCAGACACACGAGCTGAAGGAAATCACATGCTTTCTCATCCCAGCAGGGCCCCTGTGGAGGGCTGGGGTTGCAGCTGGCGATGGGGGAGGCATCCCTCCCAGAGAGATCAGAGGGCTGCCGGCGCGGGGGGTGAAGACAAACCAATTGTGGTGCTGTGTGTGCTGTGTGCGCGTGAGGGACGCGTGGGTGGGGAGGCGCCTCTTAGTCACCAGGGAGGGAATGAACCAGGTGCCCTGCCTCTCAGTGCCAGTGCTCACGCCGCTCGACCCTGGGAGGCCTGGCCTGGGTTCTCTCTGGGGCTCTGGGAGGGCAGTGGGGTGTAGTGGTTAGAGCAGGGGGGCAGGGAGCCAGGACTCCGGGGCTCTCTAGGGCTCTGGGAGGGCAGTGGGGTGTAGTGGTTAGAGCAGGGGGGCTGGGAGCCAGGACTCCGGGGCTCTCTAGGGCTCTGGGAGGGCAGTGGGGTGTAGTGGTTACAGCGTGTTTTCCAGCTGCACTCATGCTGTGTGGCGAGTTCTTGGCTCTTGCCAGGCC